TTCTAGTTCTCTAGCTGTCTTTGATGTTGTTGGATCTATTGCGAGAAGGGTGTGCACACTGCCATAACGCTTTTTGATTTGTCTAAGGCTCTTGATTAGGTATCCCACAGTATACTTATTAAAAAATTGTATTATTACGTCCAGGACACAGGCAAGCCATCTTGACTTACGTGGCACGGAAGAAGAGCGTTGGTCTTGTTGATGAAGGTTTGGCTACTCAACTGAACAACGAAATGACTTACTGGAGAGAGGTGTTGAGAAGGATCGTGGTAGTCGTAAAATTCTTAGCATCCAGACGTCTGCCGTTCCGCGGGGACAACGAAGTCATCGGATCGAAACATAACGGAAATTATTTGGGTATGCTGGAACTGCTAAGCAAGTTTGATCCATTTCTTGCCGACCATTTGCACAATCATGCGAATAAAGGTACAGGACATGTTTCCTACTTGTCAGCACCCATTTGCGATGAGTTCATAGCTATAATGGGACATCAAGTACTGAGCCAAATCATTTCGGAATTGAAGAAAGCGAAGTACTACTCGATCAGCTCACTTTCTTGGTGCGGTACATGAAGGACTGCTCCCCAATAGAACGATTCTTGGATTTCATTCCGATTGAACGGCATGGAGCAGAGTACCTGTCCGATACCGTTGTATCTTTTCTTGAAGGAAACGGTATAGATTTACAAGACTGTCGTGGGCAGACGTACAACAACGCTCCAAACATGGCAGGGCAGTATAATGGAGAACACCCTGTTCGTCCCATGTCTGGCACACAGCCTGAACTTCGTCGTTGGGCAGGCCACTGGGTGTGTCTTCGAGGCGACAAGCTACTTCCAGTTGCTCCAAAAGTTGTACAGTTTCTTTGCCAGTTCTACACATCGCTGGAACGTGTTGAAGAAGTCTCTCGGGCAAGGTACAGTGGTGAAACGACTTTCGAACACCAGGTGGTCTGCGCGCGCGGATGCTGTATCTGCATTGCACAAGTGTTACCCAGCAATAATCGACGCACTGAGGACCATGGATGATGAACGAGAAACTCCGGAAACGCGAAACGAAGCTCGAGGCATTTTGGCGAAACTGGAAACGTTGGACTCTGTTCTGCTAACTGAGATGTGGAGCAACATTTCGGTAAGGTGCAGCGAGACGTCGAAGAGTCTACAGAGTGAAAGTCTTCCTCTCGACGTAGCCCTCAAGTTGGTGGAATCCCTGCCTGCGTTTGTGGAGGATCAACGCGACATGTTCGAGACCTACGAAGCTGCGGCAAAAAAGATCTTACCGGACTTCGAATACAGGCATAAAACAACCCGTTCGAGACAAAGGAGCTCCCGACTGACTTTATCCGATGGAGCTGCAGAAGATACCCAGTTCCAGGGCCACGAGAAATTCAGAATTGAGGTCTACCTTTCACTCATCGACTCTTTGATCACTCAACTGCAACATCGTTCGAAGGCTTACGATCAACTACTCAATTTGTTCGGAATATTTTCCAGGTTGAGCGTTTTGCGATTTGAAGAGCTGCAAGATCATTGTTAGACTTTTAGCGAGTTTTATACAAACGACGTCGACGAAAAGGAACTGCTGATGGAATGTGAACACTTTAGGCATTATTTGATGCAGGAAAAAATGTTCGGTGATCATATCTATGACATGTACAAACTTTTAAAGAGTAACAATCTTGCTGCCACGTTTCCTAATGTAGAGATCGCGTTAAAAAATTTCTTGTGCTTAATGATCACCAACGCCAGTGGTGAACGATCATTCTCCAAACTCAAATTTATCAAATACGAACTGAGTAATAGCAGAAGCCAGGAGAAACTCAAATAGTTGACGCTTATGAGTATAGAGAACGATGGCCTTAGAGATTTAGATTTCAAAGATGTAATCGAGAAGTTTGCCATTCGAAAGGCCCGAAAAAAACCTGTGTAATAAATAAAATGTTGTAAAAAATATTTGTAACACGTGTTTTTGTAGAAAACATTTTTTATGGGGAGGAGGGAGGGAAGGGGGCCCCAACGGTGACTACCCCTATCATCATAGGTGAATATTTATGTATTTATTTATTTGTTTATTTATAAATGTAGGCAACCCCTGCGTTGCTTAATATTTTTACAGTTTACTCCTTTGTTTTATATGGTTATAGAAGAATGCCTATACACCTGACTTGATACAAACATGAAAATGTAACGTAGTTAATAAACTATACTATTCTGTGTTAGGAATCACACGTTGAAAGGTAAGACCTCGTTAGTCCTCAGCTCGCACAAGTTTCTCAACTTCTGAGAGTTGTCGTTGGGCTGATTACCGGAAAAACAGATTTTTTTTCAAACAGATTATATTTATACCGGTATATTTTTGGGAGACTGAAATTAGGTAGGCAGCTGAGAAACTTTCAGATATCAGATTAGAACGGGAAGCAGGGTGAGTAGTTTACGAAATTGGGTAATACCCGGTTGCTGCGGAAGTGGGGATTAACTGAAACTATGGATGAAATGTACTTATAATATACCAAAAATTGATTCTTTCACGATATTACGTTCGTCGAAAAAATAAGGCGATTTTTCATTTTCTCAAAAAAAAATAATTTATTCATCAATTTCTATTTTGTTCCGTTCAGTAGTTCCAATACTCGAAACAGTTATGATATGTATAGTATTTCCAATACCAATTGGAACAGCACAGAGAAGGAATTCCCGCCTCGACATAGNATCAAATCAAATTTATTCATCATTTTTGATACAAGAATGTATATATGACACGTCACATTTTACAAAAGATATTTTATCTTTTGTAACATCTTATCTTATATCAATAACACATGTTACACAAAATTATTATTTTCATACTCTTTCAAGGAATAAAAACAACTTGTTACCAAAAAGTCTTTGACTTTTTTCTGGAATTTCAGAATATTTGTTTCACTTCTGATGCTGTGTGGTAATAAGTTAAAATATTTTGCCCCGGCATAAAGTGGCGAACCTTTGTAATCATTACGGTTTATTTTCACCTGATGGAAGTCGTTTATCCGTCTCGTTTGATGAGAGTGAATTACCTCATTTATTGTTAGCAAATGGGAATGTGTATGAACGTAGTTTAATATTTTGTAAAGATAAATACATGGTAATGTGAAATTTTTTTTGTCTTGGAATGTCTTCCTACAAGATTCTCTATATTTGAGATCAAAAATTAGTCTAATGAAACGGTTTTGCATTATAAATATTCTATTTATTTCTGATGAGTGTCCCCAAATGGTAATATTTATATTAAGTTTAGAATACACTAGACCATAGTATATATCCAAGAGATCATGTCTCAAAAAATTTTATTTCATTGTTAAGAAAGCAAAATACGTTTTTTTCAAAGAAGTGCACAAGTATTCGATGTGATTATTGAAAGATAATTTATTGTCAAGTTGTGTTCCAAGGAATTTTGTATATTCTGTTGTTTCGAAACCTAAATTTATTTGGAGAGGGCGCTGATACTTACTTGATTGTTTTTACACCAACATTCGAATTCATTGATGACTAGTTTTGTTTTATTTTCAATTTCATTTAGATCTGGGGACGTCACAATGATTGTTGTGTCATCGGCATACATGAAAACTCGACCCTCTTTTATGTTTTTGGGTAGTTCATTACCATAAAGTAAAAATAATTGTGGTCCAAGCACCCACATTTCCTGTGGGGCCCCCAGATTCATATCAAATTGATCTCAATAATTGTCGTTGACTTAACTATTTTCCTATTACTCACATAAGATTCAAAAAACTTATTGATTGACCCTCTTATCCCCATTTTATAAAGCTTTTTACTTAAATACTTCGGGTTGATTGTTTCAAATGCTCGGCTTAGATCGAAAATTATACCTGATTTAACAGTGCAATCTACATGCACCGACATTTCGTCTGATGAGCTATCAAAGGATGAGTCAAATGATTCATTTACAAGCTCATCTTCGGTTAAATGTGTCTCATATATTTCTGGGTTTTCTTCAAACCAATTTACAACATCTTCACGTGTTAAACCTGCATTAGGATTTGTTGCAAACTGTATCAATTCCTGTAATGGAATTAGATCCTCTTCTTCTCAAGTGTCATCATCTTCACAAATTCTAGGCCACAATTTTTTCCATGATGATTTGATTGCTCTTTCTCCAACTTCGTCCCAGGCATCAGAAACTGTAAAAACTGCATCTTTGATATTCAACATTTTCAGAGTTTCAGAAATGTTTGCCTCTCGACTTATGGCGTTAAGTAAAATCTTCTTTTTGTAATTGTTTTTCATCATTTGTATCACATTTTGATCCATTGGTTGGAGCAGAGGCGTACAATTAGCAGGAAGGAAAAGTGTTTTTATACAGCCGTCACTAGATGATAATTCGTCATTTGGGCCGTGTCCAGGAGCATTATCAAGCACAAGAAGAGCTTTCTGTGGTAGATTTAGCGACTTTAAAAATGTTTTCACCTCAGGCACGAAAACATGATGAAACCAGTCGTAAAACAAATCTTTGGTTACCCAGGCTTTATTTTGACTCATATAAACAACCGGGAGATTTATGTTCTTGAATGGCCTAGGGTTTTTAGATTTTCCAATAACTAAGAGTTTCAACTTATGACTGCCACTTGCATTTGAACAAGGCATAACGGTTATCCGCTCCTTGGATACTTTTCTGCCTGGAGCAGACGTTTCACTTCTGTGAACATACGTTTTATGTGGTAAAAGTCGCCAAAATAAGCCAGTTTCATCGGCATTGTAAACTTGATCCGCCGTCAAATTAAGCTCTTCAATTTTTTTCATAAAAACTTCAAGAAATGGTGATACAGCAGCCTCATTGCTGGACAATTTCTCTCCAGTTATGGACAGCAACCTGATTCCAAATCTTGCTTTAAATTTTGTAAGCCATCCTTCACTAGCTNATGGATATTCAGAAGAAACTGCTTCGTGTGAAAACAACAGCCAACAATTTGTCAATCACGTGAACGGGGGCAAGAAAAATATACCAGATTTAGTAATATATTTAATTGTTATATTATCATTTTCATAATATAATAAAATAAAAAAAATCCTGACCGTAAAATGTGAACAGTTTCATATGTTTAAAATGAGTCATTGAAGGTATGTTTACTGTGAATTACAAAAAAAAAATCATAAAATGATTTTACCTATGAGTAAATAAAATATTTCAAGCACATTTATAGTAAATTCAATGAACTGCAATGATTCTTATCGATTTAGTTGGCATCATATAACATTCAAGGTGGATGTTTCCATTCAAAATGTGCGACCCATCACAATTTTACCCTTAATCGCTTCGAGAGTATTTTCAATGAATCCTAACTTTCCATAAAAAGCGTGTGTGTAGCTGTCAGTAACATTCATGACAACATGAACTCCAAATGAACCTGAAAGAAATAAATAGAGTTGTGTATAACAATTGAAGAACCTTTTTGTATATTTCATTTAACCCTTAAACTAGGTTGTTTCAAACGTTTTGTCTGTTTTAATGTCATGTGTTTCTTTTCAGTTTATTATAATATGATGTTGTTAGGCAATTTATGGCCAATTTTTTTTTACCAACTCAAAGCGCTAACGAAACAGCCCAAAAATTCAACCAGGGTTTTGGCAATGACAGTGTTAATCAATCAATCAATTAAATTATGTATCAGCCATGGATCACAAAAGTAATATTAAAATCGTCAATTGAAAGTTATAAAAATATAGTTTGAAAAACTAAAAAACACGTTTTTAGAGAACATCGAACTAAAAAGTTAAAAATATATTTTTTAATAAGCTTAAAACAATAACGATCGAAAAAATATCAAGAAATATCAAGTAAGTTACATACAGCGCCATCTGCCCGCGAATAGATCAAGAAATATCAAGTAGGTTACGTACA